CCCCCCCCCCATCATTGTAAATAAAACAGCGCTGGGGTCCATTAGCGCCTCGCCCAAGTCTCCCTGCATCGCTGAACACTCACTGGCACAATCTGAACACCTCATTTAAATGTGAGGAAAATTCCAGAGCAATGTCAAGGTTTTATTTTTTCATTATGATATATTTTTTTCTTTGCCACCCTTTTAGCTAAAAGTAAATTAGGTAAACAACTTGGTTAAAAAACAAAAATAGAGAGCCAGTTTCTGGATGATTATTGGGTTTGGGAGAAATGAAACAAATGCACAGAATTATTTAGGGTAAAAGTAATGTTTGGATCATTGGTGGGTGGGTTCCGGAGCCTGTCCAGTGGTGATTGGCTGCCGTAGGACTCCGCCCCCTCCGCTGTCGGGTACAGCCGCTCCGGCGATGCGTCGAATATATGAGGTCTTGACTTTGGCAGATAAAGTTTCATTTTGCCGGAGTCTGCAGACGGCATCTCTGGGATAAGAGGTGGGGCGGCAGGTAACCAGTGTCGACTCCGGAGTCACCCAAGTATGACGACCCCCCCCGCGCTTCTTTATGTTGTGGAGTCCACAGGATTAGTCATGTGATAATGTATTTCACCCCCCCCCCCCGCCCCCCACCAAAGCAGCGTTAGTGCAGCCAGACCTGTATTGGTTTCAGTGGGATTGTGAACAAGCTTTGAAAATGGTTTCTGCGGCGCCGCTGCCAGTCAGTGAAAGGAGGCAGCCGCTTGTGAAGATTGAAAATACAATCGATTTGCTCTTGGCAGAGTCGCCTTCAGCTGTCCTCCCCCATTGTGTCGGGCGCTGGGCGTGCCGCGGTGGGAGGGGTCGCCTGCATGTTTATCGCTGGCGTGACTGTGTCCTGGTTGGGGGGGTGGGTTACGGAATCTACAGGGACTTGGGGAGTCCTTAGCGTCTCGTGATGCCTTCAAGCTCTGGGTCTCTGCCCCCCCCATTATAGAAGTGCCGTTGCCCCTGGTGATATTAATGGGTAGAAAATATTGTTCTGCCATCAGGCTTCACCCAGGGGCACGACCCGTGTGCCCCCCCCGCCCCTTTTGTTTTTGTTACTTTGTTGAAGAACAACATTATTTTTCAAATAAAAATTAAGAAGCTGCGATTGTGGCAGGATGGAGCGCCAGCGAGCTTCTGCGGTTTCCTGTCTCGCTGTAAATCGCATTCAGCGCCGGATCGGCGGGGCGGCCGCACAGACCGCAGACCCGCACGAGCCCTGGCGGCCGCCGGCACTTCTCCGGCCGTTTAATCCGAGCGCGGTCACATGCGCGTAGCGGGGCTCAAAAAGCCTGGATTGAAAGCGTCTCTGCGCTCGCGGTAAACCTGCCTCCTGGCGGGAGAGAAGCTGCTGCGGGAGGGACTCAGACAAATGATTTAATATTCCCTCTGACCTTTGTTTGCTCTGTGTATTGGTTACGTTTTCGGGACCGGGGAGGTGGGGGGGACGATGTCAAAACACCCTCTTGAGAATAGGAAGTTTTCCTGCCTCTTGGCAGTGCATACCCTCAAATCACTCTGCTTTTCTTTTCCTTTCTTTTCTTTTCTTTTCTTTTTCTTTTCTCCCTCCTAACTCACAAAATCCCAAATCTCCCTCCCAAATCTAACTGGAGTAACCTCTGCCGGTTCCGTGTGTTTGGTGCCTTCCTGCTGTGCTTGACAGAGAGCCCCCCCACCCCCAGGGAAGCCCTGGCTGACCTTTGGATCACCATGCTTCACTAATTGCTTTTCCCACTGAGAATCCCCGAACGCGGTGATGATTTTGAATCTCTCAGGATTTTGGGCGACGCTGGGTGGGTGAGGCTGTGGTGGTGGGTCAGTCAGTGCCGATGTGACTTGATTTTTTTGCGACGGTGTCAAGCAGCCCTTCCTGAAATTTGGGGTCCCGTGATGGCCTGAGGCTCCCCTATATTTTTGGAATATTATGTTTCTGATGAAGCAGCGCTTCGCCGACCTCAGTGGTCCTCAGACCTGGTATCTGCAGGACTGATGGGGATGGGTCTTTCTCTTCAGGAGCTGGTTTCTTTCCGCCTCTCGGCAGCTCTGACCAGGAGTTTTGTAGTTGTGGATCTGCTGAACATCTCAGTAGAGGTTCTGCTGGCCTCTGCTTGGTCTTTGAAGGCAGTACTTTCTGGCAGGTCCTTGTTCCTCCCCAACAAGCAAGCAGGGATCTCCTTGGATGCCTTAGGTTAGAGCCTGTTAGGTGGCAGGTTGAAAGTGATCGAATGGGATGTTTGACACACGCACACTCGGTCCAACCCCACAAAGACGCAACGGGGTCAGGAGAATCGTCTGAAGTCTTTGGTGAAGAAGCGTCCCGCGTCGCCCGAGTTTTGAAGACGTCGCCAGCAGCTCTGTCAGAATTTGGGCTTGATGTGTTTGCTGTGATGCCCCCCCTCCACCACCAATCAGATCTCTCCAACCTCCCCTCTTGGGCCCCCGAAGGAGTAGACCCTGTTAGAATAGCTTTCAGCACTTCACAGGAAGGAAATGGGCCAATTAAATCAGTGGAGCCTCAGGAGGAGGGATTTTCAAAGACGCATGGATTTTCTTATCCATAAATACAAGTCGTTTACCTGTGGAGATGGTTTTTGGAGTTTTAATAACGCTTTCTCAGGGGGTAG